CGTCATTCTTTCAAAACTAACGGAAAATCAACTTGAAATCAAGGCGTTGTTTCAACGTTATGAAAGCAAACCAATTTTCGATTTTCATTTTGCTTTGAAGAATGCCGCGTCTGACGTTGGTTCAACGTTAATTCGATGAGCAAAATCAACATTGTTTCAATGTCATGAGAGACGTCGTTTCCACGTTGATTCAATGTCAGTTTGCTGTCTGGGTAGTGAGGATGTTGCAGGATGTTGGGGGAATCACTTTTTTTTTTCTCTTTTTCATCAAACCGCAATTTTTGCAAATTCCTGCAATTTCATCGCATAAAATTGCATAAATATCCCGCATATTCCATTGCATTTTTAAAGAAAACAGGCCGCATAATCAATCCATTTTTTGCCCACAACAATCACAAAAAAACTCTGCGTTTTTCTGGAAGGACTGAATACTATTATGGTAAATGTTATATATAGACCATTTCACAAGATGTAAACAACACTGGTCCAGAAACACTTCCTGTTTCAGTTTGTAACTGTTTTCTTTATTTCACATGTAAAGAAAACATCTTAAAGATGTTTGTTTAACTTTTTGATTCAGTTTTAAATGTTCTGTTGGTTGTATTTTATCCCAGCTTTTATGTAGTGTTAAAAAACTGAAACAGGAAGTGCTTCTGGACCAGTGTTGTTTACATCTTGTGAAATGGTCTATAAATCGCAAATTTTTTCACAAATTTTTGGAAATTACCACCACAAAATCAGTCATTTTGATCACAAAAATCACACAAAAAAATCGTGAAATCCTGGAGGGACTGAAATGCTATCCACCCTATTTATACAAGTTAATATGATTCTTTAGGGTCTAAATAAAAAGTTTGTCATATACTTTAATTTAAAAAATTTGTATTAGTATTGTAAGAAAACGCTAATTTTACCTGGTCAAAAACAGCTCCGTCATTTAAGTGCATGTGTCTTTAAATGATAATGAGCTTTGCTGACTCCGCCCCTCTGTTCTTAGATGCGCTTTGACACAACGCACCTTGAGTGTTGCCTTGACAACAGTTGAGGGTATATTCCTACGCCCCATGATGCTTTGCGCAAATTATGGGTGTAACTTCCACTAAGCTGTAAACAATCAGTGTAAAGGCTCGCTTTATAAACGCAATACGCTAAAGAAGTGTCACAATGAAATGACCGACCGTTCAGAAACGTCCTGTTCGAGCCTAAATTGTCGAAATTCTTCAGGGCCGTTAGGGTCCGGTTCAAATTGACACGGTTGCACAGATGTGACTCCCGCTGCCATTCTCTCTCCAAAATATACCCTCATAAACATATACACTAATACTCTAGAACTCAACGAATGCGTCAATAGAGCCGCCATCTTGAAACAGGGGAGCCCCTCCACTTTAATGCATCAGACACAGGTCTAACGGAAATAAAATCACCATAAATCATCATGAATGTAAATTTTCTTGTTTTTTTGGTTTGTTCCAACGGTCAGACATGTATTTATCATTGATTCCAGAAAGAAATTTTTTTTTTTTTTTAAACATTCTTCCTAGTTCAGATTTCATCCGTGAATTCGAATTCGAAGTAAAGGCAGAGATAGCAGCGTTACCTAGCTACTTCCTATGACAAGACCCCTGTTCCAAGATGGCGGCGGTTTTGACGCATGCTTAGAACCCCAAGGTGAGGTCTAGTGTATATGTCTATGAATATACCCTCAGCTGTTGTCAAGGCAACATTCAACGTTTGTTGTGTCAAAGCGCATCAAAGAACAGAGGGGGCGGAGTCAGCAAAGCTCATTATCATTTAAAGACACATGCACTTAAATGACGGAGCTGTTTTTGACCAGGTAAAATTAGTGTTTTCTTACAATACTAATACAATTTTTTAAATTAAAGTATATGACAAACTTTTTATTTAGACCCTAAAGAATCATATTAATGACCCCTCTAAAAAAGTGACATTAATCTACTCACTCTTTAACCATCGAACATTAAAAGGAAATTTAAAAGCGTAAAAGCATCAACAAGGTACTTCAACAGACCAAATAACCCCCAAAGCGCGAGTCTTTCCACAGCAATAGAGTGCCGAAGTGATGACATCATTTTGTAGGACAACTACAAAGAAAAGCTACGCATTTTCGCCATAGACATTTGGAAAATCGCAAAAAAAATAAGATCTATGTTTAACAAAGAGTTGTGACCCTTCCACGTTTAGTCTATCAAGATAATCTTTACAACTTAATCCAAAATGTATACATTTTGAAGCTATATGAAGCAGGTTATAGCTGGTGTGTTGTATGTCATAGATCAAAACGTGAAGATATTTAGAGGCTTTGTTAACCAAAGACCTTATTTCAGGTGATTTAGCAAAAAAACATTTAAAAAATCCCATAGACTTTAGAGCGAGGGAACCGGGAGTGCTAAAATGCTAACTCACTTCCGCGTTTTGGCCTACAGAGTGACGTCGTAACTTCAGCACTCAACAGACGGGTTAAATATCACATGTAATGTAACTTGTAACTTATGTTGCCTTAATCAAAAATGTTCGTTAACATCACACTACCACCTAACTTAACAAAATAGAGTCGTTTACACACACACCACCCATGCTAAAAGCTAAAACCGGGGAGGCAGAGTTATAACTGGGACAATTCCCCTTGAGAAATCTGGTTCTTCATGCCATCGCTTGCTTCTTTCAGCAAACTTCTCAAATAACCAAGTTGCACCCTGTTGTTCATCTTTACGACAGACCCATGAACTCATAGCACAAACTCTGTGGTCGGGCGATTAGTCCTGCAGTTAAAGGCGTGTAATGCATTAGAGATAATGAGGTGGTCAGATATGATGTCATGGTTCCATCTGCTACACACCACAGAAACCACAGCTCGAGCTTACTGGAAAACCTCAGACTGCTGTCTGCTCCTCTCTCGACTGCTGGAATGAGATTATGGATGACGGATCGCTTGTAGGACATATAGTACACGCTGTCAGGTTCAGTGCTGCCAAAAATCAACAACTGGTCATCGTTTACTCAATCTGATGTTTCTTTTCTTCCCTGAGAATTGAGCTATGGGGATATTTGGCTCTTCATAACATATAGCGTCATACTAATAGAAATACACTTTTAAAGGAGTAGTTCACTTTTGAAAAAACTTTTGCTGATAATTTACTCACCCCCATGTCATCCAAGATGTCCACGTCTTTCTTTCCTCAGTCGAAAAGATATTAAGGTTTTTGATGAAAACATTCCAGGATTTTCTCCATATAATGGACTTCAATGGGGTCCAAACGCTTCAAGGTCCAAATGAGAGTTTCAGTGCAGCTTCAAATGTCTTTAAACGACACCAGACGATGAATAAGGGTCTTATCATGCGAAACGATCCGTTATTTCAAAACTTATTCCAAAAATGTAACTTTTCTAAGGACAAATGCTAGCCTTGCTCTATTCTGCGAGGCGCGTTTGTAACGTCACGTAATACGTAATTACGTTCAAAAGGTCACGGGCGACGTAGCCGAAAGTACAGAGTCAGTGTTTACAAGTTGAACGCATAGGTTGAACGTGCAAACTAACTCAAACGCCGCTTACAAAAAAAGGAATTAAAAGGTAAAACAACGATGTCGGACGATTTTGATTCTGTGCTTCCGGCTACGTCGCCCGTGACCTTTTGAACGTAATTACGTATTACGTGACGTTACAAACGCGCCTCACAGAATAGAGCAAGGCTAGCATTTGTCCTTAGAAAAGTTACATTTTTGGAATAAGTTTTGAAATAACGGATCGTTTCGCTTGATAAGACCCTTATTCATCGTCTGGTGTCGTTTAAAGAGATTTGAAGCTGCACTGAAACTCTCTTTTGGACCTTGAACCGTTTGGACCCCATTGAAGTCCATTATATGGAGAAAATCCTGGAATGTTTTCATCAAAAACCTTCATTTCTTTTCGACTGAGGAAAGAAAGACGTGGACATCTTGGATGACATGGGGGTGAGTAAATTATCAGCAAAAGTTTTTTCAAAAGTGAACTACTCCTTTAAGTCTGTAGATTTCAATTACAAATACTTATCTTCTCCACTTATATACACCAAAACTTACAGTTTTATTCCCATCTAGATTCTGAAGGTTTTTACAGAGGGGTTTGTTCATATTTCATTTTTTGCCTGATATTTTTAATATTTTATTCCTAAAAACATGGTCAAAACTTATTTTTTTTCCCTAGCTGTTCCAAGTATTTTCTAAATTTATGGAGTGATCAAAGTAAAAACTTAAGGTAAATCTAAACTCAATGTCTGGAATTATACAGTATGTAAAATAATGCATATTTAATTACTTTGTAGAAAAAGCATCATTTGCATTTTCAAAAATAACATTTAAGAAAACTTAAAATACAAAATAATGTTTGCACTTCTTAACGTAATCCAAAAACTGAGGAAGTACGGTGATATCTATTAGTTCATTTTTTTGTACCCTATTCACATGAAGTGTCCTGTGTTAAAATGACAATAAGCACCATAAAAGTATAATAAAATGTGCATTAGACTTGTGTTAACTATTCTCCTGTAGCCACAGGAAAGCTTTGTATAATAAATTTGACAGATGGGTTTAGTTGTGTTACTAATATTAGCTATTATTGAATATGATGAGATATGAGAGCTTTAGGGATAGTCTTTTGCATATACAGTAATTGTTTGATTGACTTTAATCCCTTGCTCAGAAAGAACAGCTCGATTTGTGTTGGATGGAGAACAAAACATGTATACACAACATGAGAAAGAGTGAAGGATGGATGGAATCAATGGGTTGACCACATTATTGATGGACTTCTGCTGTATTCGACTGTCATGGGACGAGACCGTCTTCACTAACGGTGTGTGTGAAAGCATTCAGTGTTCATCATTCTGTCTGCATGACATGTATCAGTCCGTTATTTCAGGGGACTAGCCAGCAGATGTTACCGTTCACCGTGATCTCGCCGCGAGAGGGAGGAAACCAGTGATTGGGAACTGACACACTCACCAGATATGAAGTTTGTTCCAGTGTCAGTCATCTCAAAAGGGCATAGCTTGTCTTTTCAAGGGCTTCTGGGAAACTGCAGTAATGACACCTGTAGTCATGACAACAGAGAGAGAGAGAGAGAGAATGCTTGTATTATGATCCATAGAGAAATATATAAAACAGAGAAAATCAGATTCCATCATCAACATGAGAGAAGAGAAGGGTCCTGTTCATGTTATATCTCTATATTATAATTGTCTCATTCGTGTTTATTTTTATATTTTTTTTACCAATGTATTTTAACACAAATATCTATGGAAGGTTGTTTTCGCCACAGAAGGAAAAATAAAAAAGGTACTTGCAAATTTTTTTCTCACAATTGCGAGTTATAAAGCCAATTCTGAAGTCAAAATTCAGAATTGTGAGATAAAAACTTTTCTGAGGGGGAAAAGTTAAGATAATATTATTTAAAGCTAATCTTTTTTTCTTTTCTTAGAACTGCCCTGATAACTTACAATTCTAAGAAGAGATGAGATCTAAACTCGCACTCATGTGTTATAAAGTCAGAATTGTGAGATGTTAACTCGCAATTGTAAGAAAAAAGTTTCAATTGTATTTTTTTTCGCAATTGCGCATTTATTTCTCATAATGCAACTTTATTTCTTAGAATTGCGACTTTATATCTCGCAATTGCGACTTTATTTCTCAGAATTGCGACTTTAAATCTTGCAATTACGACTTTATTTCTCAGAAGAGCGACTTTATATCTCACAATTATGACTATTTCTCAGAATTGCGACTTTATATCTCGCAATTGCGACTTAATTTTTCTCAGAATTGCTACTTTAAAACTCGCAATTCTGACTTCATTTCTCAGAATTGCGACTTTATACCTCGCAATTACGACTTTATTTCTCAGAATTGCAACTTTATATCTTGCAATTGTGACTTTATTTCTCAGAATTGCGACTTTATTTCTCAGAATTGCGACTTTATTTCTCAGAATTGCGACTTTATATCTCGCAATTGCGACTTCATTTCTCAGAATTGCGACTTTATATCTTGCAATTACGACTTTATTTCTCAGAATTGCGAATTTATATCTCACAATTACGACTTTATTTCTAAGAATTGTGACTTTATATCTTGCAATTGTGACTATTTCTCAGAATTGCGACTTTATATCTCGCAATTGCGACTTTATTTCTCAGAATTGCGACTTCATATCTCGCAATTGCGACTTTATTTCTCAGAATTGCGACTTTATTTCTCACAATTCTGACTTCATATCTGGCAATTATGAGATAAAAAGTCGCAATTATTATTATTTTTTTTTTATTCAGTGGCGGAAACAAGCTTCCACAAATATCTGAGAGCAGGTCACTAAAGCATAAGTGGACACTGAAAGAGCAGCAGACATCAGCAGTAATTATTAAGCAGTCGTGTTGTGACACATCATGGACTATATTATGAGCTTTTCCACACATTCATCATGCTGAAGTGTTTATATAACAACTAAAAATAATGCTAAGTGTAATAACTGGATCTCCAGAGAAACAGGCATCTCAACTCTATTCATATTTCATCAGCACAGAAGAGACCAAAGAGAATATCATGAAAAATGAACAACATTATGACAGTAAGTTTGAACCCCCGGCTTGTGTTCAGAAACACATCTTCATGGGTTATTGTGTTTGTGAAGTCAAACAGGAATAGTTACAATTAGCGATCATTTTGACTCGGTCCAGTAAACAAACACCCACATCACGCTAAACTCCACTCACTTCTCCTTCAGAAAGATCTAGTTATTATTCAAATCGTGACTGATTCGACTCAGTGAGAATCAATAACTGTTTTCTGATAGTGATCATGTCCTTCAGAGGCGCTCGAGCGCAAGGCACCTGACAGAAAATCTCACAGCAATTTCTGTGCAACAAGAGGAAAAGTTTTTCTCTTTATCTCTGAGATTATACAGATACAAGATCTCATGCAGACCATATGCCGCATTTCTAAGCAACATTCACGTGCATTTGAAACAATTTTATTGTCTTTTAAGATACAGGAATCTATTGCAGCAATCATATACCTTTCAAGAAGACTACAGTCCCAGAATGCATTGCAATAAAATGCATACTAAGCTATTTGAAGCAACAACGCAACAACAATTTTTTTTACAAATAAATTAATTAATATAAAAAATAATAAATATATATATTAAATAAAAATATATTTATATATACACTGTATGTGTGTGTGTGCGTGGAAATTCTCTTCTGCTCACCAAGGCTGAATTTATATGATTTAAAAAATGATATAAAAAAGAAATATTGTGAAATATTATTAAAAATATTATATAATTTATTATTAACAATGTTGAAAACAGTTCTAAAAGACCCCTTTTGCATTGATGTTACAGTTACGGTCACAGATTCACTACATTATAAGGAGCTTAAATTATTATTAAATGTCATCTTGTGTTGTTGAGTGCAACAATCTATGGGAAATTAATATGCTGTATCTGGAATTTTTATTTCAAGAAGATATTTACATTATTAAAATTACACTGTAATGTCACTCTTTACATTGTCGTCTTCTCGGCGCTGGCTCGGCAGTCTTGTACATGACCATTCAGCACATCTAAAGATTTATATGCCCTCAGCTTCTCTTTACGGTCAGTTTCTCTATTGGATAGGTGTAGAAGTCAGGACACTCAACCAGAGGTAGCGCTACCGAAAAGATCGTCCATGCATTGAGTAAGCGTGTAGTACGGTTCAGCCAATCTGGTTCCATCCGTTAAAATTAACTTTTGCGAATAATAAACGCGGTCCTGGACACTGAGTGACCTTACACATTAAGATAAAATCGGATTTTCTCCAGTCATTGTAAAAAAACAAACTAAAAAAACCGTGCAAACTAGCGTTAGTGAAGCAGCCAGAGGGATCGTTCTGCGTCCACCTAAGCTCCGCCCACAAAAAACGTCACCATGTTTACCAACTGAAATGGGGTCTATAGAGAGCATATCGTGATCTCGGCTAATAGTGTAGTGTTCCATCAGATGGTCCCTTAGAAGACAGCTGCCCGTGTCTCGCGTGATGCTTTGCAGTGTTTTGACCAAACGGCTCCTCTTTCTCTATTTTCTCATCTGGCACTCATTTGTAATTCAGTGCATATGCTGAAAGCATCCATGCAAAATTCATAAGTGTGGTTCTTCTCAAGTGATATGTTAAGTGTATTTACAGTACGCTTGACGCTGAATGTGTCGGAATCGCTCATCCCGAGTCTTAAAGGGATACTTCACCTCTGGAAAGATGAATAAGTATTTAAAATAGCTCATTTATGTAGAAGAAATGTGAAATTAATTTTGAATTTGGAGCTTTCTAGACTGAGAAAAGCCAGAAAATTTATTTTTGGCTTAAATGTGGATGAAAGACAACAAAATGCCAACCCAAAATGCACTTGCTTCGCTGCCCTAGGAGGCCAAGCCTACCGGTAAAAATATTGATATAATATAGATATAAAAATATCAATATTAATTACATCAATATTTTATAAATATTGATATAAAATATTGATATAATATTGCGAGATATAAAGTCGCAATTCTGAGAAATAAAATCACAATTGCGAAATATAAAGTCGCAATTCTGAGAAATGAAGTCGCAATTGCGAAATATAAAGTCACAATTCTGAGAAATAAAGTCGTAATTGCGAAATATAAAGTCACAATTCTGAGAAATGAAGTCGCAATTGCGAAATATAAAGTCACAATTCTGAGAAATAAAGTCGCAATTGCGAAATATAAAGTCGCAATTCTGAGAAATGAAGTCGCAATTGCGAGATGTAAAGTCACAATTCTTAGAAATAAAGTAGTAATTGCAAGATTTAAAGTCGCAATTCAGAGAAATAAAGTCGCAATTGCGAGATATAAAGTCGCTATTCTGAGAAATACAGTCGTAATGGCAAGATTTAAAGTCGCAATTCTGAGAAATAAAGTCGCAATTCTGAGAAATAAAGTCGTAATTGCGAGATATAAAGTCGCAATTCTGAGAAATAAAGCCGTAATTGCAAGATTTAAAGTCGCAATTCTGAGAAATAAAGCCGTAATTGCAAGATTTAAAGGCGCAATTCTGAGAAATAAAGTCGCAATTCTGAGATATAAAGTCGCAATTCTGAGAAATAAAGTCGTAATTGTGTGATATAAAGTCGCAATTCTGAGAAATAAAGCCGTAATTGCAAGATTTAAAGTCGCAATTCTGAGAAATAAAGTCGCAATTCTGAGATATAAAGTCACAATTCTGAGAAATAAAGTCGTAATTGCGAGATATAAAGTCGCAATTCTGAGAAATAAAGTCGCAATTATGAGAAATAAAGTTGCAATTGTGAAAAAAAGACAACAAGTCTAGTTTACTAGTGATGAAGCTGCCCGAAAATGTGTTTCCAGATCGCCCAAAATGTCGGGGATTGGGCTTTTGCGTTCAACGGTCGCCATTCCTTATGTTTACGAGATCAATATTTTACGATCTCGACGGCCGGAAAAAGAGGATGGTAACCCCTACAACTCAGCTTTCTCCACAGAACAAGAGCCTACTAGCTTAGCTTCCAAAAAAAGATGGCCGACACTATGTGTCCATTCTGTGATTGAGATCGCCCTCTATGGGCAGGTTGAGGACATGCGGGACAGACCGACTACTGATGACGCAAAATGATGATTTTTGTGTCATCAGAGGATTTTTTCCAGACAAAAAAACAAAAATCTCTCGTCTCAAAAATATGAGGGTGGAAAGCATGGAAAATACTATATTTTTAAATTCCATATTAATTTGAAAACACTACAGGTGTTCTACTAATACAAAGCTTAATGCTAAATCCTGAAGTATCCCTTTAATAATATCCCTGCAGAAGAATAGACACAGGAGACCTGATTCTACACAAGTCGAGTGCTGAATGTGTCTTTAGACGGGTGGATCTTCTAGATGGGTGGAAAGTTCAGATTCTTGATCAGATCAGCAATATAGACTAATAATGACAGATGGAGGACACTTAAAGTCAACATGAAGTAGAATAGAATGTTAGTTATTCATAGATGTTATTAAAAAAACATTTATTTAC